GACAATTCCTGAAAATCTTTCTCTTTAAAGAACTCTATCCTGCTACTACCTAGTAAACCACCATTTATTTCCTCCATCAGCTCATCCCCCCCCCCCACAGCTATTACATTTTGTATCACTCAACCCTTCCTCCTAGATTGTAAGCTCTAACGAGCAGGGCCCTCTGTTTCTTCTTGTACTAAATTGTTTTGTAACTGTAATGTCTACCTTCATTTTGTAAAGCGCTGTGCAAACTGTTGGTGCCATATAAATCCTGTATAATAATAAGAATAATAAGTGGCAAGCTGCTATCCCACAATCGGCCAACTCACCCAAGCTCCTGGACAGTGTCCTCAGGCCAGGATCCTCAATAGTAACAAAAGAACCCTGAGAGTGGAGAGCTCACTGGAAAAGAAATCCTCAAGAGAACAAATCTGCGGCTTGAAAACACTGTATTTATTGAAAATTATGTACCAAATACAAAAAGGCAATAACTTCCTCCACCCTACACAGTAAAAGTCATGATAACGTTGCCATATGGTAAAACACCCACCCGGGCACACAGGCAAACTATCCACACACGGGGCACATTCAGGATGACAATAAATGATTGAATGAGGGGCCATGAGGCCAATGATGACACCAAAAGAGGATTAATGAAAGGTGAAGACTGGGTGATGGATGGATGGTACGGATACTCAGATCAATCAATGATGGTCAAGGGGCAAACACAGACAGGTCAGTAAATACTTGAGACAGTCGTAGTCAGTCCTCATGGGGGTCACGTGCATGTATTACAGACCCATATAGTCCCATGGGGGGTAATCCTCATACATCCGCGAATTAAGATAATTATCACAGGGGTAGCAAGACAGCCAGTAGATATGAGAGAGATATGTAGACATGAGAGAGTCCATCAATCCTCAGTAAAGTCATGTACATTCATCGCAGACCCATATACCTGTAGATCCCATGAGGGATAGTCCACATATATATTCACGGATAATGGTAATTATAGCAATGGTTCCAGGTTTAGACAGTGGGTTGTGGTGACACAATTGTTAATAGAGCAACTCCAGTTGCTGAACATTTTGCAAAATGTCATAATTCACCCCCCATAGGACTCTGGGTTAAGGCTATTTATGCTCTTAACCTATCCAACCGCAGGGGTGACTTTGACACAATTCTCCTACGAAAGGAGGAGTGGATTTTCAAACTTGGATCTTTAGCACCCAGGGGCCTTAATGCTGAATTCAGCTTACAAGTCTTCCTGGATCCATAATTCTATAATTTCATCCTTGTCATTGTTTGTCTCAATGACATCCATCACTATCTACTATATATGCCCATTAGCTATTTTATCCTCTAATACTGGTTAACCATTTAACCGTATGGTTCACTGTCATAGATATTCCATATAAGATGGGGCAACAGTTGCCCTTATATGTGAGTATGATAGTCTGTTTGACTGCATTTGAATTACCTTTCATTTTAATTATTATTGACGTTAGTAGCAGTTTTTGAATTGCTGTAATGACTTCTTCTGCTGTACCACTTTTCTATCTAAACCCGGAAGTGATGAGAGTGTCTCTATAAAAGCCTTTGACATCATGGCCGCGGCATCCTGAAGCAGCTCATATGACTCAGTGGGTGAAACGCATTGACATCACAGCAACGTGACAATCACGTCCCCGGAATCCAGGACTCTCCACGCAGCTCCTCCATCTGGCGGAACCGCATCGGACACACCATACTCTCTCAAAGATCCACTTACCCAAGGATGATCACATGCCATGCCTCTATACTGCGACTATGCAGTGGGAGGATAATCCATTTATCCTGTAAACAGCACATGGTGAGCGGACTTTCTTTCTGAACTAGGATGTTAATATACTGGGGAAATCCCCATAGATCGTGACCGCTCGGTTGAGCTACACTTGCCTGATGTCCCTGTTCCTACTGCTGGTACACAGTGTTTCATTATAGTCCAATACTAATACTCACTCACCGGCTGCTCTATTACCGATTGTGTCACCACAACCCACTGTCTAAACCTGGCACCATTGCTATAATTACCATTATCTGTGGATATATATGTGGACTATCCCTCATGGGATCTACAGGTACTGTATATGGGTCTGCGATGAATGTACATGACTTTACTGAGGATTGATGGACTCTCTCATGAATATAGTGAATCGCAATTGCTCCTCCCTTTGATCATACAAGTGCACCGCTATGGTCATATGCTTATATTTATCTACTGCTGTCTTGCTGCCGATTGTGGGATAGCAGCTTGCCGCTGCACTTGATACCCCTGTGATAATTATCTTCATTTGCGGATATATGAGGATTACCCCCCATGGGACTATAGGGGTCTGTAATACATGCACGTGACCCCCATGAGGACTGACTAGGACTGTCTCAAGTATTTACTGACCTGTCTGTGTTTGCCCCTTGACCATCATTGATTGATCTGAGTATCCATACCATCCATCCATCACCCAGTCTTCACCTTTCATTAATTCCTCTTTTGGTGTCATCATTGGCCTCATGGCCCCTCATTCAATCATTTATTGTCATCCTGAGTGTGCCCCATGTGTGTGGATAGTTTGCCTGTGTGCCCAGGTGGGTGTTTTTACCATATGGCAACGTTGTCATGACTTTTACTGTGTAGGGTGGAGGAAGTTATTGCCTTTTTTGTATTTGGTACATAATTTTCAATAAATACAGTGTTTTCAAGCCGCAGATTTGTTCTCTTGAGGATTTCTTTTCCAGTGAGCTCTCCACTCTCAGGGTTCTTCTGTTGCTATTGAGGATCCTGGTCCTGAGGACACTGTCCCAGATCTTGGGTGAGTTGGCACATTATATTACTAATATTTAATTTTATTTTTGTTGCAGGGGATCCCATTCTGGTTTTATCCACTTTTTTATGACCATGTAGGTGGTCATGATGTTTTTACAGATCAGGGGGAGTGGTTATAATGTTTTGGCTGATCATGATGTGGTCATAATGTTTTTGCTGATCAGTAGTAATATACATTTTTTTAGCTTATTATAGGGATGATTATAATGTTTTTGCAAATTATGGTAGTCATAATGTTTTGGCTGACCATGTTAGTCACAATTTTTTGGCTGATAATGGAGGTGGTCATAATGTTTTACATAATCAGTGGACACAATTTGGTTAAAAATAATGTTTACTTTCCACACAAGGTGAAATCTAAAAATGATATGTAAAATAAACATAAGTTGTTTAGCCCAGAAACGAAAGTCCTCCTTTCGGGCATGCCTGAAGAAGTCACTTGAGCGAGGACACCGTGCAGCCCCGTGGTGTCAGTTTCGTTCAAGGAAGTTATGATGAGAGGATGATTTGTTCCTACCAGGGGCGGACTGACAACTCATGGGGCCCCTGGGCAATAGGGGATCATGGGGCCCCTGTGTCCTTGCCCGAACTCAAAAAAGCCTATGAAAAAGGAGGTACTAGGGGCATCTCATGGGGCCCCCTACTGACCCCGGGCCCTCGGGCAGCGCCCGACTTCCCAAATGGTCAGTCCGCCCCTGGTTCCTACAGTTATTGATTTTAATGCTCATACACCAGTCTGTCCGGTGTCTTTGTAAAAATGTGGATTTACTTTTATTTGAATAAAAGCGGGTTTTATACTGTTTTACACTATGGAGAACTTTCATTTTATTTTTGTGATTGCTACTATTGGGGTATATTGAGGATAGGAGCAGAGATCAATGGTGTGGCAACAGGAGGGGAGAACCACATGAGGATCTTTTCTCATAAGCACTAATAGACCCGTATGAAAATATATGTCTATATTTAAGATGAGCGGCCATTCTGCACATAAGTGAAGCATGGTTTTTTAAATGCACAGCAAGGTGGAGTGAACTCATTTGGATTAGTTACTTAAAGAATTGCACTGATTGATTGAGAAATGTATAAACATTACACTTTTTTTTTTGAAGTTTCATTTTTGCACAGACATTTATTTGACAGCACTTTAGTGATTAACAAGTTATTTCACTGACAGCATTGGCACTTTATTATCAATTCCCACTTATAAGTGATATTGTGTTAATTTTGTATTATTTATTAATGCACTTATGGATAAATATTGTTTGGAGCACTTTTGTACTTGCATTTTAATGACTGAATTGGAATTGGAATGTGTGGGGGACACATACGTTTAATGTGAGCGGCTCCTCGCTTACATGATTTTCTAATTTTATTTTAAGTGTCATTTATATTTTTTATTAATGTAAATAATATAAACTTTGGTAAATTATATTAATAACAGATCAATATATTCCAAAGCCTACATCATCGCTCCTTAAGAATGTAGCACTGAGAAATAATTAATTCTTTGAAATAGGAGCTGCTATTATACAGCTATTATCCAGAGATAAATATCACATATGTGAAAATAAATATAACCACAATAATAGCGCTCACAAAATATAACTAATTGAGTAAATAAAATGAATAATAATTATAATAATATTAATACAATTAATCCACCACCAAAGAAATAAAATGTGTGGAAAACAAAACAAATTCAAATAATAGATCCTCATTAAAGTCCATTCAATAAAGTCCACATAAAGTATATATGATCTTCAATCAAATGAAGTTATGGAGTCTTTAACTTTTCTTTCACCAATATATATTTTCCAGTGCTCAACACCCCATCAAAGTGAAAACTTACCAGATACATGTGAAATACCAGCATATCTTTTATAAACTCAGTAGATGTAATACACTCCACAGCATAACATTCCTGTATACCAGCTGAAGGATCCAATACACTCCATAGGTCACATGTGAATAAAGAACACTCTCCATAGCGTAATACCGTTTGAAACAATTTATTCCAACAAATACCCCCATAAAAACAGCACTCACATTGTGTCAGTACAGCAAAAGATTTATATTTTTTCATTGGTTTTTAACAGAGTGGTGTGAGTAGTGTAAAGATTAATTCCCCCATATACAGTATATGAACCATAGTAAGTTATGAGCTTGGTGAACAAAGTTTGAGACAAAAAAGAATGGTATTGGTTGCATTATGTTTGATGAAACATAGAAATGGATGGTCTACTATAAACTGCCTAATGGCTGATTTTGGTTGAATAACAACTCCAGTTGCAGCTGCTGCTTCAGTTCCTTCTTCATTAACCTCAATGAAGGCTTTATGGATCATTTTTGACACATAGAGGCCAATGTCAGATATACCAGATAAATTTGCTTTGTGGCTGAAGGCGTCCAGCATTCCCATGTTTTTTAATTGTGATGTTAGATCATAGCTTTCTTCTGTCTTAAAACGTGGAATGTGCACCTCTAATTTTGTCATTTGCATATTTTTAGGATCTGTCGATTTCATCAATAACTCCAAATTTATCTGTTTAATAACCTAAAAAAAGTTGAATAATAAAGATTATCATTAGGGGTTATAAAATAGAAATTATATAGTTTGCAAGGAACTTGTCACAGTAGTCAGTTTAAAACTTGTGTACAGATAACCAGTGTGATGATAGGAGGTGACACTTAATGAGAATTCCAAAATTTTACATAATTATGTTGAAAAAAATGGTTAGAAGCTTGGTGCTAACAAACATTAATATTAGGATGAAATTGTATTCTTTGCATAATCTGAAAATCTGTTTTAATTTTCTTATCTTAAAGCTGAGCTCCAGTCAAAATAATAATAAAAAAAAAAAAATCAGCAGCTAAAAAAACTGTAGCTGCTGACTTTTAAAAAATAGCCACTCACCTGTTCCTCGATCCAGCAGTGTCCTCACTACAGCTGCTTTCACTGGCCATCCTATCTTCCCTGTGCCAGTATCTTCAGTGTGGGCACTCGGCTGTGACAGCTTGAGCCCGCATAGCCAGGCACCCACTGAGCCGCTCCTTGTGAATGGTCCTGTACTCTTCAGGGACCTGTCACGTGTCCCAGAAAATGACGGGGGGGGGCGACTTCCACTTCCAATTGCCTAGGCAATCACAGTGGAAGTAGGAGCAGGTACCTGTCAAATTCGGTAAACCCTCCCCCCGCTCCCCAAAGGTGCAAATCCTTACTGGGGAGCGGGGGACAAGGCCTTTAAGCAGAACTTCCCTTTTTGGCTCTGCTCTGCTTTAACTAGTTGCCAACCGCAGATAGCCGAATGACGGCTGCACTGCTGCCGGCCAGTTCTGGGTGGATGTCATATGACGTCCTCCCAGAATGCGCTCTCCTGCGTGCCCCGGCGATCTCCGTGATTGCTGTGTCCTACGGACACAGCTGATCACGTGATGTGGTAAAAGGCCAATCACAGCTGCCTTTTACCACGTGATCAGCCGTGTCCAATGACACGCTGATCACCAGGAAATTCAATTGACGGTTCTCGGCTGCACTTTCCTCACGCTGTCAGATCGTGAGGAAAGTACTGCTGAGAACCAGCAGTTGTCAGAGCGCGGATCGGCACCGATCATCAGGGCACTGATGATCAGTGCCCTGATGATCGGTGCCCAGCAGTGCCACCCACAAGTTCCGCCCACCTGTGCCCAGCAGTGCGCCCACTAGCTCCGCCCACCTGTGCCCAGCAGATCACCGACCTGTGCCCAGCATTGCACCCACCTGTGCCACTCTGCAGTGTCACACACCTGTGCCCAGAAGTGCCACCCACCTGTGCCCAGCAGTGCCACCCACCTGTGCCCACCCATCTGTGCCCACCAGTGCCACCCACCTGTGCCCACCCACCAGTGCTGCCCACCAGTGCCACCCACCAGTGCAGCCCAGCAGTGCTGCCAGTCAGTGCCACCAGTCAGTGCCCAGCGGTTGTGCCAGTCAGTGCCCAGCAGTGATGCCAGTCAGTGCCGTCTATCAGTACCCATCATCAGTGTCACCTATCCGTGACACCTCATTAGTGCTGCCTATCAGTGCCGCCTATCCGTGCCACCTCATTAGTACTGCCTATCAGTGCCCTTTAGTGCTGCCTATCAGTGCCCATCATTGCTGCCTATCAGTGCCCATCAGTGCTGCCTCATCAACGCACATCAGTGAAGGAGAAAAATTACCTGTTTGAAAAATTTTTATAATAGAAACAAAGAAACTTTTTTTTTTTTTTTCAAATTTTTTGCACTTTTTTTGTTTATAGCGCAAAAAGTAAAGCGCCCAGTGGCGATTAAATACCACCAAAAGAAAGCTCTATTTGTGAGAAAAAAAGGATCAAAATTTCACATGGGTACAATGTTGCATGACCGCGCAATTGTCAAAGTGCGGCAGCGCTGAAAGCTGAAAATTGGCCTGGTAAATAAGGGGGTAAAAGTGCCCGGTAGGCAAGTGGTTAAGTAATACAGGTTTTGTTAATGCCTGCTGTAAAATTCATGGTAATGGGCATTAGTTTGATACAGTGCCTTTCATTTTGAACAGCACCCCAACAGACCTACCTTGCAGAGGACCGCAGCACATGGTAAACACTAACATGCAATACAAAAATGTTGCAGGATTGATTTCTGGTCCATTATGATGTATTTGGTAGGTCATTCAAATGAATAGGCACCCATAATGTGGTGCTCAATAATGCACAATGTAACCATTGTGGATGGATTCCTATAGCTCTCTAAAAAGTAAAGAAGACACAACCGGGGATATAAAATCAATATTGTTGGCTATACCATTATGACTCCAGGCCTCGTGCCTTTCTGTTTAGTCCAATTAGTTCAGAGGTGTACTCAGCTTGGAGCACTGCTATGTATTGACAGGCAATGAATGCTATAGCACCCCAGATGCTCAGGAGGGGTGCGGACATAGGAATGGTTTATGTGCATCCTACCCCCCCCTCCCCATACATTCTGACGTCACCTTGACTTTCTGATTTGCATGCTTGTTCCAGGTCAGTGACTGAAGTCAGAGCCACAACAAAAAAAAACTTTCTCAGAAGGACCACAGTAATGATATCCTCCTATATATTCTTAATTTTTGAGAACCTAATTCACTCCTCTCTTTACTAAATTGCATGCAGGCTGATATCAGTATGTTTCAAGCTTCTTTCTTACTCCATGTTGTTATAGAGATACTAGCATGTTGTCTTGTGTGTTTGGGGAAAGGGAAATGAATGACCCCTGCTAAAAAAAAGTGTCAAAAGTTAGTTACGCCCAAGCACCTAAAATTGTCCCACCCCCAAATACTCGAGCATATGAACATAAACACAAGCATTGGGGGGCTCCTACACACAAAAACATAAATGACACTATACATGTTACATATTGCAGCACATACCAAATGGAAAGCAATAATTGTCCATTATTTAGAGTTAACTCTAAACTGATGACCTATAAGAGCTTTTAAAGCATTGCTGAAATGTTGCACTTGCTAAACCGCTGTGCTAATATCGTGTGATAATAAAAATTTTGGAGTACCACTATTACATTTTTTAGGGTCTCTGCATTAAAAAAATGTATGTTTTGGGAGTTTTAAGTAATCTTAAGGCCTAAAATGATTTTTTAAACTTGTGTGTAAAAAACACAAAAAAAAGGCTCTGGCAGAGAAAAGTTAAAAAGGCCTAACAGAGGCGTCCCTAGGGTTGGTGTCACCCGGTGCAATAACACTTGGTGACACCCCCTCCAACAATCCCCGCAGAATGGATCGGATCTGCGGATTGAGCATAATGGATCAGACTCCGATCCATTATGCTCAATCCGCAGATCCGATCCATCCTGCGAGGATCATCGACTTTCTTTACAACTTACCTTTTCTTGGAGCGGGTCCAGTGTAGCGGCAAGATGTGTCTCCCATGTAGATTTGTCCCCCCTGAAGCAACTGCGCATGTCCTGGTTGAATCTGGGACATGCGTAGTTGCTTCAGGGGGACATATCTACATGGGAGACACATCTTGCCGCTACACCGGTGTCAGCCCGTATAGGTTGCTTGCCGACGATCCCGCAGGAATTCTGAAAGCATGTCTTTTAAGGGAATTGTGAATTTTTTGTGTATGTTGCCTTTAGGCCACAGTGGCGTCCCGAGGCAGGTGCGAGGTGTGCGGTCCGCACTGACTGACACTGACCGCACAGGGTGACACCGGACCCGCTCCAAGAAAAGGTAAGTTGTAAAGAAAGCCAACGATCCCCGCAGGATGGATTGTCAGCTTGCTTTACAACTTACCTTTTCTTGGAGCGGGTCCGGTGTCACCCCGTGCGGTCAGTGTCACTCGGTGCGGACCACACACCCCGCACCTGCCTCGGGACGCCACTGAGGCCTAAAGGCAACATACACAAATAATGCACAATTCCCTTAAAAGACATGCTTTCAGAATTCCATAAACCTGCTTTCCCCCCCTACCTTAACCATACCTGGCCACATGCCCTTGATGTGGGTAAGGTAACTTCTTGGGGGTGCTCCCTAAGTAAAGCATGTTGTCCCCATGTTGATGAGGACATGGGCCTCTTCCTCACATTCTTGGCCCAGTGGATGTTGGGGGTTTGTGGAAGAACCCCCAGATATCAATTCCCCCATATGAATGACTAAGGCATACATTTGGTTACTCATTCTCATGTAAAAGATGAAACGTAAATAAGTATACTTCATATTTGAAAAAGTTATTTTATTTTAACACCAGGGGTAGGTGATCCAGGGAGTATCCAGTTGCCTCCTGGGGGATCAAAAAGGATTTTTTTCCCCCATTGGAACAAATTGGATCATGCTTTATTGGGGGGGGGGGGGGGGGGTGCCTTTCTGTGGATCACCTATGGGTATAAGATTGTGTATACTGAGGTTTTCAATATAATTTTTTTCTCTGCTACTTCAACTACTGTGTAATTCTATCAACAGTCATGACATCTAGCCATGTAGATCCACATGAATCATGACAAATGACAATCCAGACAACCTACCAAAGCAAAACGCGCTGAACCACTGATATGTTTCAATGGACTCCTTGCTGCAAATTACATTTTCGCAGCTGAATGTAAACAAGTGGGCAGTGGATCCCAGGTTACATCATTTACTAAATATGGCCATGGCCATATCTGGCTAATGACATTTTGTGGGATCCCTGGTTTGTTTACATTCAGCTGCAGGACCAGAAAATGTCATTCATGGCAAAGAGTTCAATGGGTGCTCATTGTCTTCGGCGGTTGTTTTGTTTTGCCACATCATCAGAATCTCATTCATCATGCTTGACATTGATCTCCAGCACTGGATAATGTGACTGATGATGGATTTACACCCTGGGACAATTTTTTTTAAATATGTGTGGACTCAAATGTGTGCATTTTTAATTAACATTCTCATTTTTATTTTTGAATTAGTAACCAGAGGTATTACGTTCCCCTACTCTTTCTTGTTTAGGGACGCTAGACATCTGGTGGCCCCCGTTATTTTAAAGTAACTTCCAGGTTCCAATTGGTCCCCCCCAGCAGACCCCCACATCCACCTGGTCAGGGATGTTGGGAAGATGCCCTTGTCCTCATCAAGAGGGGGGAAAGTATTGTGCCAGTGGCCTGACAACAAGGTACCATTTCAATGTTGAGAGCATATGGTTGAGAGTATGTGGTGCATGCCTAAAGCCCACCCAACACCATTTCTGTTCCTCAGTCCAGATAACTGTTAGCTGTCATTCACTGTTCTAAACATATAGTGAAAAATGAATCTCTCTTTTACCTATTTCATAGATCAAGTTTTTTAGCATTCTTGTCTAAAGGCAAGCCTCATCCATCGGCAATATGTATTCATTCCTAGCTACCATAAAAAAAAAAATTGTATCACTCTTTAAATAATATTCATGTGAAAATGTAGCGAACCATGCATTGGAGGTTATTTACTAAAGTTGAAGAGTGCAAAATCCGGTGCAACTCTGCATAGAAACCAGTCAGCGTCGATGTTTTACTGTCGAAGCTTAACTGAACAAGCTGAAGTTAGAATCCGACTGGCTACCATGCACTGTTGCACCAGATTCTGAGTGCACCAGTTTTAGTAAATCTACCCCAATGACGTCTACCTCCAGACATGAAAAATTATTCATAAAAGAGACTACAAAATTATAAATATTTATTGTCTTTCAGGTATTTGTTCCATGCACTTTTGTATTTTGGTGACAAATATATGTAAATATAAATAAGTAAAAAATTGCTGTGTAAATGCCTCAAGAATTTTCATGGCTGTCACAAATAATCACCATATTGTTGTTTTCCTATTAGTAGTCATAATGCTGTATTTCCTGACCGCTCCATGTCAGCACAGCTGGATGAGGCCCCACCCACCCTTTACATGATCAGGACATATCTATAAATTTTCAGCTCACCTCAGCCTCGGCGTTCCTTTTTCTATTCTATGGTCAGGACAGGTGGCTTCTCCTCTCCAAGCTGGTCTTATGGCTAACTGTCCGTCTAGGTGAGGTCTGCTGCTGGACGCAGTCCCTGCTTTTTACTGGTAACAGCATTTCTGAAAGGGAGCCCCGCTGCTGGTCCTCAGGGTGGCATCATGCTGTGTTTAAACAACCAGCTTGTGGGGTGCTTGGGTGGTGTGCAGAGTCCCTCCTATGGCTGCTGGTGGAGGGCTGGGTCCCTTCTATGGCAGCTACTTGCTGTGCTGCTGGGGCGACTGGCAGAGTTGCTCCTGTGGCTGCTGGTGGAGGGCTGGGTCCCTTCCATGGCAGTTACTTGCTGTGCTGCTGGGGCGACTGGCAGAGTTCCTCCTGTGGCTGCTGGTGGAGGGCTGGGTCCCTTCCATGGCAGTTACTTGCTGTGCTGCTGGGGCGACTGGTAGAGTTCCTCCTGTGGCTGCTGGTGGAGGGCTGGGTCCCTTCCATGGCAGTTTACTTGCTGTGCTGCTGGGGCGACTGGCAGAGTTCCTACTGTGGCTGCTGGTGGAGGGCTGGTCCCTTCAATGACAGCTGCTTGCTGGGGTACTGTGGCAGCAGACATAGGCTCTCTGTATCTGCTACTAGGGGCAAGCCCACTTGATCTCTGCACTTTTCAGGCACTTCCCAGGTAGAGATGCTGGCTAGTGTGGAGGTCTGCTCTGGGCATGTGCAGAGCTGCCCAGCTAATCAGGGGAGGGGGAGGCGGAGTCATGCTTAAGGGAGCCAAATTTAAAGATGCTTCTGTCTCAGCTGTATCTGCTGCTAAGCTGTGTTCTCTTTGCAGTCTGCCTGTGCCTGCTGTTCTCCTCCCCTCAGGTATGCCTTGCAATCCGAAGGCTTTGTCCTGTGTGTTGCCTGCTGTATATTGTTGTACTTACTATGGCTCTTTGATTTATCTTGCACCGTACTAACATGCCTACCCCCTCTAAAGACCAGCGCTCACAGAGAATGTAGGGGAGATATCGACGGATGCATTTTTGAAGGATTCCAGTGTTGGCAGACTAATTTCTACTTTTGGTCTGTGCTATCCCAGCTCCTCAGGTCTCAGTCACAATTCTTCTCGACAAACAGAAGAAAGAAGCCCGGAAAGGAGTAGGAGACATTCAGCCTAACGGGAAGATCAACGCTCCCATAGGAGGACAGAGACGTCTCATTCCCATTCTGCCTCAAAAGGTCAACACTCCTCATTGAGATATCACAGAGATTCGCATTATGAGCAGCCCAGAGCAGGAGGATGCTGGGCATGCCCTAAAATACCACTGGGTAAGACCGCATGTGAGGATTGCTTAAAAGAAGCAACCAAATGCCAAGAGCCTGATAAAGACGAGATGGTTTCTCTAATGAAGCAGGCATTTGAAGAAACGGTAAAGGTGTTTGCATCTCAGATGAAGGCTTCGGCTGCCACTCAAATGATTCCAGAGACCCAGGAGCCTGCGGCTTCTAATGCAGCTCTCTGAGGAGGATTGCCAGTATGATGGTTTTGGCCATGGAGGTCTGGATTCAGAAATCGGAAGTGGTGGTGTAGAATGACCTGGGTAAAGCTGAGGTCCTGTCCTTGTTCACCAATTTAAAGCTAACAGCTTCTTTTATGGCCCAGGCATCCATTGATCTGGTTAAGTTGCTGGCCAAAGTTATGCTGAATGCAATAACTGCCAGATGATCCCTTAGGCTGAGGCCCTGGGTGGCAAACCCAGCATTCAAACAGGGATCGTGTAAGATACCATTTGAAAGGAAATCCCTGCTTATGAAATAAATTAAACAAAGCCATTGCTAAGGAAACAGGTGGTAAATTGGGGTTTATTCCCCAAGATCAGAGGTTGCTACGCAGGAGAGGCGCAGTTTACAGAAATTCACCAAGGACCAGAGGCAGAGAAGCTAAGTATTACAGGGAATTTCAATGGCCAAACTCCACTGCAAACCGCAAGTCAAAGAGATCAGCTTCTTCCCTGGGACAAAAGTCTCAGAAAACCTTTTGACTATCCACCAGCTCACACTTCTCGTGTTATTCAAGTTCCTTCAAGTGTGGGCACAAAGTATAAAGGACCATTGGGTGATCTCTGCGATCAGGTACAGTCACAGCTGGAAGTTTCCCAGGCGTCATCACAAAATTTTTGTCCCGACAAAGATGCCTTTGTTGAAGGAAAAACAAAATGTCTCGTGGGAATATGTAGAAACTCTCCTGAATTAGGGGGTAATAGTCGCAGTTCCCCAACAAGAGCATTTTTCTGGAACCTACTCTCCTCTGTTTTTTTGGGGGGGGAAAAATCAGGGGCTTGGAGGCCGTGATAGACCTCAGGATGGTCCGTTCAGGACAGGTTCATCAGGAAGGACCGATTCAAGATGGAATCACTGCAAACAATCCTGAATATCATACAGTTGGGAGATTGGCTTCTGTCAGTGGATCTCAAGGATACGTATTTCCATGTGCCTGATTGCAGTGGGACAGCTCCATTACCAGTTTGTATGTCTGACCTTTGGGCTGACCACATCTCCCAAAGTGTTCACAAAGATTCTTTTGGACTTGGTGGCATACCTGAGGTTGCAGGGCATCAAAATATATCATTATTTAGATGACATTCTGCTAATAAGGATTTTGGGCAGAAAATTCAGATCACACCCCAGATGAAATCAGGTTTGGATTGGCTTTCCAAACAGCATAATTTTCTTCAGTGCCACTCCTTGCTCATGATACAGTGGCGAATAATCCAATTGGATGCCAGCGAAATAGGCTGGGGAGCCCTATGTGAAAACCACTGGGCTCAAGGTCAATGGGCATTAAATTCTGCCAATCTAGTTTCCAACATTCTGGAATTGAGGACAGCCTTCCAGGCTCTCCTAGCTTTTAGAAGTCTGATTCAGGGAGCACCTGTTCTTATGAAACTGGACAATACAACAGCAGTGGCCTACATCCACATGCAGGGAGGCATCTGCAGTGTTTCTCTCCTGAGAGAGGTTACCCCAATTATGGAAAAGACTCAATCCAACTTACAGCTGCTAACAACAGTATATGTGCCTGGTCATTTGAATATTCAGGCAGACTACCTGTCCAGAATGAACCTGGACAACAAGGAGTGGGTTCTGTTGCCACAAGTCTTTCAGAGCTTAGTGGCATGGGCCTTTCTCCCAGAGGTGGACCTGTTTGCCTCTCCAGAAAATACCATGATTTTTTGCCAAGTAGTCACCCACAAACTATGGGGGTGGATGCATTGACAGCAGAATGAAACTTCAGGACAGCATACACCTTCCCTACGATTCTGATGATCCTCAACTTTCTACACAGAGTGCGTCAGAGGGTGTCCATTCTGGCGGTAGTGCCGATTGACCCAAGAGACCCGGTATCCGCTGCTTCTCTCATTGAGCATCAGAGAACCACACCCTTTACCAGTGAGCTGGATCTTCTAATGCAGGGGCTAATTTGTCACCCAGCTCCTGAGAGACTCAACCTGTTGGCCTGGGTCTTGAAAAGTGAAGGCTAATCAAGCTAGGATGCTCAGCGAGGGTTACGGATACTCTGATGAAAGTCAGAAAAGACAGCAACAACAGCACCTATAGCAGGATATGGAACACGTTTATGGAGTTTGCAAGTAAGTATGACTTTTCTCCAGACTCTCTCCAAGAGCCTGCCACATACTGGAATTCCTCCAGGTGGGATTGGAGTTGGGCCTTTTTGTGATTACATTGAAAGCGCACATGTCAGCCATCTTTGCTTTTACTGGTATCCTTAGATATATTAGTGGTTCAGTTCTGCAAAGAAGCTATCTGCCTAAGACCACCCAGGTCTCTGATATTTCCAAAGTGGGACTTGAGTCCAAAATCCAGCTAGAAACTCAAGAAAAGGAATTATATTTTTCAGAAGTGTATGAAAATAAAATGAGATACTTGTGAAAACTTGCAGGAAAAGGCTAAAAAAATAGTTTGAAATAGAATCTTATAATATTTGAAGGAAGACTGGAAGGGAAGTTGTAATCCCATTATATATTTAGAAATTTAACTTTTTGTATGTGTGTGTATTTTGAAATATTGTATGTGTGCTGCCATATCTATACTCAATAAGTAGGGAAGTCTGCAAACTATTAGGTTTTTATGTATGTACAGTATATGAATATGTGTGTATGAATGTACAGTTGTGTTCAAAATAATAGCAGTCAGACACCACTAACCTGATCAATCACTGTTTTTGGTAGAAATTATATTTCTACATGGCAAATAATTTACTAGCAGGTGTAGTAGAGTAATAGAAATCCAACAGACCCAACAGTCATCACATGCATGCTGCTGATTCTGTGTAATTGAATCACTAATTGAAAGGGGCATGTTCAAAATAATAGCAGTGTGGAGTTCTATTAGTGAGGTCATTCATTCTTTGAAAAATAGGTGGCAATTATTGCCCTTATTTAAGGAAAGAAGGAAGGCAGCAAATGTTGTACATGCTGGTTACAGTGCATTTCTCTCTGAAATTCTGAGGAAAATGGGTCGTTCCAGACATTGTTCAGAAGAACAGCGTACCTTGATTAAAAAGTTGATTGGAGAGCAGAAAATGATAGGCTGCTCAGCTAAAATGATCGCAAATGCTTTAAAATGGCAACCAAAACCTGAAAGACGTGGAAGAGAAAGCGAAAAACTACCATTCGAATGGATAGAAGAATAGCCAAAATGGCCAGGACTCAGCCAACAATCAGCTCCAGGAAGATCAAAGAAGGTCTAAAGTTACCTGTGAGTACTGTTACAATTAGAAGACGCCTATGTGAAGCCAAGCTATCTGCAAGAAGCCCCCGCAAAGTCCCACTGTTGAAAAAAAGACGTGCTGAAGAGGTTACAATTTGCCAAAGAGCACACTGACTGGCCTAAAGAGAAATGGCGCAACATTTTGTGGACTGATGAAAGTAAGATTGTTCTTTTTTGGGTCTAGTGGCCGGAGACAGTTTGTCAGATGACCCCCAAACACTGAATTCAAGCCACAGTACACTGTGAAGACAGTGAAGCATGGTTGCGCAAGCATCATGATATGGGGATGTTTCTCATACTACTGTGTTGGGCCTATTTATTGCATACCAGGGATCATGGATCAGTTTGAATACATCAGAATACTTGAAGAGGTCATGCTGCCTTATGCTGAAGAGGAAATGCCCTTGAAATGGGTGTTCCAACAAGACAACGACCACAAACACACCAGTAAACGTGCAACATCTTGGTTCTCACCTAGCTGTGCTGCCGTGGAGCCCATCAGGAAAGGAAAATTATGGTAAGCATTTCAATTTTCAGTTTTTTCCTGAAATACCTCAATCCAAAAAATGGCACAACTATGGCCAATAGTTTGAGCTGACAATTATAGGAAATAAACCTATTAGACATTTTTTTGTGATGGCTGTACAAATGCCAGAGTCATGCCCACAGTGAATTTTTAATAAACAGACCTCTAAATATGATTAATAAACATAAACACTATTAAGTAATACTTATTAAATAAACTATAATCTCACCTTTTGTAGACCAAAAATGTTATTAGGTAAAAATATGAACATGCTGAAATCATTATTTTCATATGGCAGTTCAATAAACTGAGCATCCAATTCTTCTACAATTCCATGATTAAATCTTTGAGTTTGTCTCATCATTGGCACTGTTATTTTTACATCCTAAGAAGGAATATAAATAATTGTAAATAAAATATTTTTAGACAGGCTTTGTCTATGTATTGCGAGTTATTTCACTATTGCATAAAATGTATTATAGAGCATTGTAAGAACCAATAACTAAAAACAATAGTTTACATTCTTATGTAAGTTGTGCATCCTATTTAGAATAAAATAAATATATAGTATAGAGGGAGGAAGTTCATTTATAAAGGGAACAAAACTATAACATTTGGGGTAACCAAAAACAGGCATGTGAATAGCATTTGTCTATTGCAAATAAAATGGAATAAGTGAGCGCTTTTCAAATAAAGCAGCAAGGCACACAGGATAACCAATAACAATCCTCACAAGAACATTAATAAAAAAGTGCAGCGCTAAAATAAAAACAGAAAATACATAAGAGTACATAAAAAATAAATTAAAAACAAATATATGTGTATATATATATATTAATAGTCCCAGTAGAGATGACATAAAGTGAGAAATGCACACTAACCAGATGTGCACATATAATGTGCAGCAGTGCGGATATCCTACAGCTCAGCAAATGGTCATCAGGGTGGCAAAGATAGGCAGATTCACTCGGACAGAAAGGATCCACGGATGGCACACAGATGAACAAAAAAGTTCCCCTTGAGGACAGAACCAGGCACAACTCCACCAAAGGGCAAGACTCCTCCACTGGGCAGAGCGGGCCGTGGTGTCTAGAAAAAGAGATGCTTCCCGCAAGGGGTCAAGACAAAAAAGTGCCCATAGTGATGTATTGTTTGGTAAACAGCATTTATTGAAAACAAATGACAGTAGCAAGGGGATGCATCCGATACAAAATTGCAGTGTGCAAAAGGACTAACCGTCCTAAAAGATGTAGTGGCCGATGCTCCAACGGCATGACGTCACGGCGTACGTAGGCTCCTCCTTACGCGTTACGTGTCAAGCACATCCTCCGAGAAAGAACCAAAAACTATTTTTTGGTTCTTTCTCTGAGGATGTGCTTGGCACGTAACGCGTAAGGAGGAGCCTACGTACGCCGTGACGTCACGCCGTCGGAGCATCGTGGAGCTCCGGCGGCCACTACATCTTTTAGGACGGTTAGTCCTTTTGCACACTGCAATTTTGTATCGGATGCATCCCTTGCTACTGTCATTTGTTTTCAATAAATGCTGTTTACCAAACAATACATCACTATGGGCACTTTTTTGTCTTGACCCCTTGCGGGGAGCATCTCTTTTTCTAGACACCACGGCCCACTCTGCCCAGTGGAGGAGTGCCTGGTTCTGCCCTCAAGGAGAACTTTTTTGTTCATCTGTGTGCCATCCGTGGATCCTTTCTGTCCGAGTGAATCTGCCTATCTTTGCCACCCTGATGACCATTTGCTGAGCTGTAGGATATCTGCACTGCACATTATATGTGCACATCTGGTTAGTGTGCATTCCTCACTTTATGTCATCTCTACTGGGACTATTAATATATATATTACATATATTTGTTTTAATTTATTTTTTATATACTCTTATGTATTTTCTGTTTTTTTATTTTAGCGCTGCACTTTTTTATTAAAGCATTTGTCTATTTGCTTGTTTATTTTAATCACTGAGATCATGTTCCAGGAAGGAGTGTGGGCAGCAAGACCATTGTACATGCTTGATGGAATTGAGCTGGTAAGGGATCCAATAAACCCCTTTAAATGAATCAGCTCCTTTGATTGTGCAAAAAGGCAATCTGCAGAGAACATCTGCTAAAGATGGCCAGATTGTATGCAAATGAGATTTGAGTGAACTGTTAGACTCATCACTAAACTATACATCCATACAATCCTATTTAGTGAAAATCCAGGCTTTTTCTTCCTGACAGAATGTGCCAAAATGGCATTCCAGCACCTCCACCAGAGCACTCTGTGTCATTTACTGTGTAAGCTGCTGCCTGTAGCAAACCAGATCATGGCCACGGAAGGATCAAACTGCTACAGCCTGAGAGAGCAGAAGAACGAGTGATCTGCACTCTGCTCCACCTCTCCCTGCAGACCAACCTGAAGCAAATTTTGGCACCAGTCAACTCATGTGTGTGAGAGCAAGGTGTGGCACAAATAAGTGAATAATCCCCCTGTGCTCCACAAATCCAAACTTAAGTATGAAAAGACAAGTGCCAGCTGCTATCACCTCTTTCCTATACCACAGAAAAAAAACATAAATCAATATTGGTGAAGCGTTATGCTTATAATCAAAATTGAGTGCAATCACAAAAAACGATGGTGATAAGTATGTACTAAAGTAAAATGTGCAACCCTATAGACTCTGTGTCACAAATGCAAATATAATATAAATTGCAATATATATGAGTGCAAGAAAGCATAAAGTACAAAAAAATTTTAAATATATCCTAATGGATAAATAATCAATTCATATATGTACAGTGATAAAGTGTAAATAATGCCACACTTGTGATTTTGTACAAGTGCTCATAAATGATCTGATACGCCAACCTCCCAGCTAGCCAGACCAATAGTGATGTGTCACTCCAAAATATCACACAAAGTGACCAGTGCTCAAAAATAAAAAATGTAAATATATATACAATGAAGTCCACAATAAGTGCAAGCCAATACGTGCAAACAATATGTAATGTGCAAAATGTGCTTCACTTCTCCACTCCACTTTTGATGTGTGCTCAGGTGACACTCTAGTGTATCTATCCTCAAATGGCTAGAGTGCCTCCTCACCTCCTTACTTCGACCCCTAGGGGCCACTGCTCATTTGGGTATTAGTAAATTCCACTCCAGAGAGGGTCTCTCCCACTCGGCTCCACTGGACTGATGTTTTAGTGGACATACATTTAAAGGTATCTAGGTACTATATACTGTACATAAAAATGTATGTTCCAGTGTAGAAGATTTATATTTAAAATTCATTATATATGTTCATTTACCTCTTTTACATGGAACGGAGCATTTTTTGTGTTTTCCTTTTTAAACGTTTCCATCCATTTTCCTTTGAAATAAATGGCATTCACCAGTATCAGGGAAGTATTCTTATCCAGTGAATTCGGGGCAAACAAATTCTTTATTTTACCTTTAAAAATAAATAAATACATTTAGTGGACAAATATAATAAATAGAGCAAACATGAAACAAAATTTAAGTGCATACAATGTAAAGCAAAGAGTACTCCACCACAATTGGTATTGCAGTTTTTCTAGATACTAGGCTTAGGAGTCACCTGTGACCTGCCAGTATGTTTCTGAGAGACTGTGTTGGTTACATATCTGTACTTAAACTGTATGTAAACTGTGAAAAAAACAAATATATTGTTTGCTCCCTTTTGCTGTGTTAACTCTACCATAGAAAGTGTTTTGGTATATCTAAGTGCAAAAAATACTTGTTGACCCTTCCTAAAATCTTGTGAACTGATAATGTCCTGCCCTCTTATGAATACATTGTTTTTAGCAATTTCTGAGGAGAACAGAACTATTCCCCTTTATATTATGGAGAAAAAGAGGGGGGCAGGGTTCTTCTTTTTTTTTTTTTTTTTTTAGTAATTTCTGGTTTCTTCTGTATCAGGACAACTGCAACAAAATAGAACTATAAAGCATTGTCATCCTAGGACAAGAAGTGCTTTATTTACAGTATTACCAGGTATGCATAAAGCAAAAATGCCTGGAAACAATACATTTAATGCAGTCACTCTGGTCTGGTAAGCTGCAATATATTAAAGTATAACTTTTTTATATAGTTTTGAACAGAGTGGAGATGGTTGAGAACACCTATTAGCTTTTATCGCTGTCTGTGTCCCCCGTTATGGAAATTCACTCTCTTTATTTGTCCTGCTTACCATTATCATTGAAAGTGAAAGTTAAGAAATCCCCAAATTTTGGGTTGTCCCCAGAAAAGTAATAAAGGGTAAATTTTCCAATGGGGACACTAGTTCTGGTGAAATGGTGGTCTCCAAGGAATTCCCTTAAAGAGTAACATCAGCCTCTCCATTTCCCCAATGTTTTTCCCATGCTTTTCTGCACAGTAAACATATTCATTTAGCCAGCAGATCCAGCATTGAGACGCCGGGATGCTCTCTGCAGCAGGAGTTCGGCACTGCCATGTTGTCTGTGACAGCTGCTGATCCTTCCGACTGCAGGTGCCGCTAGGCCTGCCACCTCCTTACTGAATGGGACTGCATGTCATGCATCCAAGGAGGCACTGTGTCACTCGTCTAGAAGAATTCCAAAAGTTGGGGGATGGGCAGAACCTTTGAAGCCAGAAAAAACTAAGAATTCTTATACTGTACCGCGCTCCAATATTATCAACCTTTTGTGATTAACCTTTTTTGGTTGTGTGAATTTCTTAATATACCACCTATAATCCAATCATTACTTACTTCTATGGTGCTTAAATATACAATTAACATAAATTAATTTATAAATATGAATTAAAAAATTATATGTGATTATAACAAATATTAATAAAAAATTAATGAAAAAATTGGAATGTCAATTCTATGTGAATAAAATAATAATAAAAAATTAATAAAACATTTAAAAAAAAAAAAAAAAAAAAAAAAGAAAAGGGAATGTCAATTATTTTCTTTAAATTTGAGATGGTGTTGTTATTCAATTTAGTTAATGTGATAAGTCTGTGTTGGCAGCTTGAACCTCTCCCTTGTCTCCTCTCCTCTCTCCTCAGCTCAGCTTTCTCAATTGTGCTTTCTTCACTGGCTGCTTTGTTTATTGCTCCATATACGGAACATGCAGAGAAGGGAAAAGAAACATAGTGTCTTATCCGGGATATAAGTGATTTATTGCTCTTTGATCTCCCACTCACATTGTGTAAATGTAAATAACGCTTTGCATACAATGTATCAAGATCGTGCTTCAGACAGCCTGGCTGATGTGTTTGCTTGCAGTAAATATACTCGCCCTTCCTCTGTGGATGCGTGATAACGTCACCGCCCCTCCCCTACGCGTTACGCTACAGGGACTCCTAGCTTCCTCTGGGGGATGTGGATTTTCACTAGAGAGGGTGTTATTAGTGCCTGGCGATCCAATATTTAATAAATATTCACTTAAGCACACAATTAACACTAATAATAGAGTAAGTTAACTCCTGGTGGCTCACAAATAACTATTCTATTAAAATTGCAGAAAAAACTAAGTATACAAATAAAAAGCCCCATATCAGTGCTGTGGGGGAGGGCAGGGTGGAGAGGAGAAAAGTGCCTCGGGAGGGTGAATGTGTGAGTATTATCTCTCTCATCCTCTTTTGGCTATGGTACAGGAAGTGAAGTTAAATCTCTCCAATGGTAAAAAATAAACTGATAGGGGTTAAAGCCTTTCCTTACTCTATCTAAAATTAAAAAAAAAAAAAAGTTTTGCCTATATAGTTCTACTTTATATTTTTGTTTTTGAATACATTTTAGGTTTCAGGTTCTATATACCTGATACAGCGAATATAAGGTTTCCCATTCCATGTGTTTATGATTTATTTTCTATTATAGAGAATAAAACAGGAATAGATTAAACACATGTAACACCCGCCTAGGTAGCTAGGGGGAGGTAGTTTGATTATTTATTTTTTTTTAATGTTAAGTTGAGTAGAAGCCTGGGTGAAGCTAGAAGGGGTAAAATTGGGGTCAGGGCTGAGAGGCTCTGCAGATCAGCTCTCTCTGGTACCTCTCCCTGATTTAGAGACTTGGAGATGTCTCTAGAGCTCAGTGGGCAGGGGAGAGGGGTGGCTGAACTGTTTGCTCAAGGGATCCAGACCAATCCCCCAGCAGGAGGCTTGGCATGGGGTTGGGACAGCCTTTAAGCATTGTGGAGCCCGCTCAGTAGTAGGAGAGTTCAGGTGGAAGATGGAGTGAGAGGAAGAGCTGTAGGAGCCTGGGATGGGGCCCAGTAAGAAAGGGCCTACCTACAGGAAGTTTGAAAGGAGGATCATTCATACCTCAATGACCACCTGTGGAGCAGGGAAGGGGCCAGCCCAGCAGAAGGCCTGAAAGCAGCTACCAACCCACCAGCTCACAGGAAGAGGACTGAGTGAGTAATCCTACACCCCCTGGTCCAGTTAAGGGGAAAGGAGCATTAGGGTGGGAAACCTGACTCTCTCTATACCCAGGACTGTTCACCTTTATAGTAGCAGCCACTGGATCCCCTTGCTCAAGGATTTCTCCAGATTGCTGGACAAGAAGAGAATTATCTGGGGTGGTATGGCAGGTGAGGCTGGAGAGCTCTCCCAGAAGAGAAAACCCTTCTATGGTCATGTACATAGTTGCTAAGAGGTTGTCCTTAGTTTACAGTTCCTTGGACATCCCATGTATCCCTCAACCCCATCCAAGTTCAATATCCCCTAATAAAATCCCCCCCCAAAAAAAAAAAAGTTCAAGGACTGTTTACTGTCTCTGGAATGCAAGTCTGTGGAAGATGCATGTTGCCTGGCTGTGCAAGACTATAAGGGGACCCAAATCTCTAGCCACTCCTAAGGGAGTAGTGCTACACACACAAAGGTAAACAAGAACACACAAAACAACATGTGGCCAGGAATTATGGAAGGGAGATCTCATTAAAAATGAAAGAAGCAAGGGGATGAATCAGCTGATCATGGTCCACCAATATTAAAAGTGCTATCACATACCATTTGTTTTGGTTTCAACCCATGTGTTTATGTCTTCTCTTGTTTTGTCTTTCTCAAAATCAACAGGCTTTAGTTTTGCCTCATAGAGTGCCTGAGCAGATTCCAGATAACCCTTAATAGAAAAGGATGAACAAATTAAAAATTGCATCTTTCTCAGATGTAAATCTAAAAAACAACATACCATTACTCTTAAGCTGGCCATAGAGTATACAATTTTCTTATTAAATTTCCTTTAGATTTACTTTCAACTATGTAGTGCCCGGGCTTGTCTGATTGCATACAAATTAAAAGTGTTTGAACTCATATTAAATGGTTTTTGCAAATCTAAAGGAAAAATGTACCACAAAATTGTATAATGTATGGCCAGCCTTACTAGACCTAACACAAATAAATGGACACAAAATCTTTAAGGCACTGTTCCACATTAAAAGGCTAGCAACATTCACAAATACCTCTTATAAAATTCCTATATTTTGAAGCAGGTTAGATATTCCAAAGTATTAAAACAATAAGTGAAAATTATTTTGATAGCAGGCTGATAAAGGTTAACCATTAAATTAAACGGGTCTTTTTCAAACACAAGTACACATGGAATGCTAGATTTGTGTTTTCTAATGGTCAATTAAATTGTCACTGCGCACATTGGCTCCAGTTTGGCAGCACTCCACAAAACAGTGACTCTTCTCAGGAACAGGGAATGACCCCAGCAGAGCCTTTGCTATATTCATTAACATTGGCTTAGCCTGTCCTCCTGAAACAGTTTGAAGCTGTAAATTTCAGTGCAGTTCTATCTGGCATCTACTTACTTGAGTCAGTTTAGACATTACCAAACTTGCTAAGCCTTAAAGTGTTACTAAACCCACAACAGTAAAATCAGTCTGTATATGCAGTAAAGCATGCTTGTTATACTCACTGTGGAACCTAAGGGGTTAATCCTCTGCATTGTGTAAAAAGGTTGTTTATATCCTTTCTTCTCTATTCCTCCCCTTTTTCAAGGGACCACCTCTTATCTCCTGATAAGACAGACTGAAGCAGGAGGGAGGGGTGTGAGCATGGTGGCATGGTCTAGGACAGCGGTTCTCACCCTGTGGGTCGCGACCCCTTTGGGGGTCGAACAACCATTTCACAGGGGTCTCTTAAGACCATCGGAAAACACATATTTCCGATGGTCTTAGGAACCGAGACACCGCTCCTCTATCACTCTCCAGGCGGGTCCGCCCACATGCAGATACGTCCACATTTCCCTGGACCGCGATGTGTGCGTGGGATGACATGCCGCCCCTGTCATCTGGCCACAACCCCGGGATCACTCAAGAGCTCCGCCTCCTCGCCAGTGATTGGCTGCCGGAACTGTAGCTCAGGAGAGGCACACAGGCGGCCAATCACCGGTGAGGGGGTGGGGCTTGGAGAGGTGGAGCGGAGCAGCAGCGCGAAGATCAAAGAAGATCGAGCGAGGGAGCGGCCGGAGAAGGAAGACAGCTGACAGGTAAGTGTCTGTAGCGTGCAGATGGTGCTGCTGCAGCCAGGTATGCTGGCTGTAGATGGGAGAGGGAGGGAGTGAGCCCAGGCTGGAGCAGGAGTCAGCAAGGTAAGTATCATTGGTGTCAGTGGGAGGAATAGTGCCCCATCATTGGTGTCACTAATATCAATTCCCCCCCCACACTAGTATCAATGATGGGGCACTATTCCCCCCCCCCCCACTGACACCAATAATGTGGCAGTATTCCTCCCACACTGACACCAATGGGGCACTATTCCTCCCACTGACACCAACAATGTGGCACTATTCCTCCCACTGATACCAGTGATGGGACACTATTCCTCCCACTGATACCAACGATGGGACACTATTCCTCCCACTGATACCAGTGATGGGACACTATTCCTCCCACTGACACCAACGATGGGGAACTATTCCTCCCCCCACTGACACCAACGATGGGGCACTATTCCGCCCCCCACTGACACCATCGATGGGGCACTATTCCTCCCCACTGACACCAATGATGGGGCACAATTCCCCCCCCCACACTAGTATCAATGATGGGGCACTATTCCCCCCCCCACTGACACCAATAATGTGGCAGTATTCCTCCCACACTGACACCAATGATGGGGCACTATTCCTCCCACTGACACCAACAATGTGGCACTATTCCTCCCACTGATACCAGTGATGGGACACTATTCCTCCCACTGATACCAACGATGGGACACTATTCCTCCCACTGATACCAGTGATGGGACACTATTCCTCCCACTGATACCAACAATGGGACCCTATTCCTCCCACTGACATCAGTGATGTGGCACTACTCCTCTCACTGCAAAATTACAGTTATGAAGTAGCAACGAAAATAATTTTATGGTTGGGGGTCACCACAACATGAGGAACTGTATTAAAGGGTCGCGGCATTAGGAAGGTTGAGAACCACTGGTCTAGGAGCTGAAACATTCGCTGAACAATGGCGTACATCTGATCCCCCCCTTGCCTACCTGAGTGGCTGTCGGGTGGCTCCGGTGTGGGAGAGCTCAGTGCAGAGACTAGAACGGGAGCGGAGCAGGGCACTGGCGGAGGTGAGACCCGGTGGAAGAGGTGGGGGAGGTCAGGTGACTGGTCAGGTGACAGACCTGGGAGCCAAACGCCGGAAGACACAATATGAACACCTCCCTGTTTTATCCCTAAATGAGCCATCAATGTAGCTCCAGTATATTGTAGCGGGTCCCCTGCCAAGAAATGGAGCTGGGACCAGGACTGGTGATGGCAGCAGAAAGTGACACGGGGAGAGTATCTACATAGCCAGTCATAGGACACGAGGAGGAGAACAGAGGAGGAGATTGTCAGCCCTGGGAACCCCCTATACAAGGAAGACCCAGCCACCAACGAACAGACAGCGTGAATAACATACAGGAACAGGTAAGCGACCGAGTGAGACAGTAAATCCCAAATATTGACTATCTGATTACCTATATGTTTTAGAGGAGTCTGGGGATGTTGTATTAGTACTCAGGGGAATCCCAGAAGAAGCAGAGGGGACAATACACTCAGAACTGAAAGTGAAAGGAGGACCTGTATCCAGTACTGAAGCCCTGTTCACTCAGAGAATAATGAAGAGTAGATCCGTCAAGGGAGGGGGAGCGAAAAAACCCCCCAATCGAACTTAAATATAAGTACAATAAAAAAAATACTTGCCCTACAGGGCAAGACAAGGAGAGTAAAATCATATTGAAGTTCAGAGGAGAATGACTTTCGAAGTATCAGACAGAAATCAGCTAAGGGAAGGAAGAGGAAAGGGGGAGATCTTCTTGTTCTGAAAATGAGTATACCTTTACCCCTACAAAGAATATATAGAAGAAAGGTGCTAAAGGAAATACATTAACAATTTATTGAAGTGGTGTTTCTACAAGAGACACATATATCCCAGGATTCAAACATTAAGTTATACTCTAGGTACTTTCCAACCTGGTATTATGCAGATTCCCCAATTAGACGAGCAAAGGGGTGTGGCAATAGGATTTGTAAAACATATAAATTTTACTTTAGATGAAAAGCTGGTAGATCCAGAAGGCCAATATCTATTTTTAGGGGGAAAACTGAAGGAAAGAGAATGTACATTAGCAAATACTTATCGTCCTAATAAAAATATATATTTGGATGGAATATTAACAAAATTAATGGACTTCAAAAGGGGAGGTGTGATTGTGTCAGGAGATTCAAATTTTTGCATGGATCCAGAGATGGAGGCCTCATCGTGCGCCCGGGGAGAAGAAGATAGGAGATTAAAGAATATTAAAAAAAGTTACATCAATGTCAATTGATGTATGTTTGGAGGATCAAACACCCAAAGGAAAGAGACTATACCTTCTTCTCTGTGGCACACAGGATGTATTCAAGAATGGATTATTTTGTAATTGAACATAGACTCTTGGGGGTTTATTTACTAAAGCTGGAGAGTCCAAAATCAGACTCCCTTCTGCATAGAAACCAATCAGCTTCCAGGTTTCATTGCCAAAGCTTCATTGAACAAGCTGAGGTTAGAAGCTGATTGGTTTCTATGCAGAAGGGAGTCTGATTTTGGACTCTCCAGCTTTAGTAAATAAACCCCTTGGAGTCCTTGATGAAAATGAATATAACGAAGTAACATCTATATCGGACCATGCACCTGTCACAATGAGACTACAGCTCGGAAGGGAACAGAACAAAATAAATATGTGGCGATTAAATAAGTCTATATTACAAAACCCCAAAGTAGAATTAAGAGTGAAGCAGGAAATAGATCAGTACTTTAAGGTAAATGAGTCCAAGGAGGTTTCCATTGCTATGGCATGGGAAGCACATAAAGCCTATATTAGAGGTATACTGATTGCAACTGTGGCGGAGATAAACAAAGAATGAGGAAACAGAATTAGGATACTAACAAAAGAATTATATTAGTTGGATCACATAAAAAGAAAATAACCATAGAAATACAACAAAAGACAATATTAAAAAGAGAGTAGTTAAAACAACTTATGGAACAAGAAACTAGGAAGATCTTTAATGGGGGTACCAAAAGAAAGATATTGATGGGGGAAAAACCAAGGGAAATATTTGATGAAGAAACTGAGGGAAAAGAAATCAAGGAATTATATAGATAAAATAAGAAATGAAAGAGGTGAAATGGTTTATTCAACCACCGATATCGCTAACACATTCCAGACATACTATAGCGGTATATATGGACTAGAAGGAGAGAACCAGAAGAAATTAGAGGAGGAAGAAGAGGCAGATTTATCTGAGTAAGACCGGTTTAACTAGGGTGGATAAAACTAGATTGGCAGCTCTAGACAACACAATATCAATAGAAAAAGTAAACTTAGCAATAAAAAGCACTACGGCTGAAAAGAGCCCTAGACCTGATGTGTTTACCGTAAGATATTATGAGAAGTTCAAAGAAAATCTAGTCCCTAAATCGTGCTCATAAATGAATGCTCTAGGAGGGTAGACTATCTAACTTGAAAAATTAACCCCTCAAAAAGTGAGATATTAAATATAAATGTTTTGGAGGTCGAGAAGCAAATATTACAAAAATAGTTCCCCTTTAAATGGAGAGAGAGAGAGAATTAAAGGCAAATTACATCCCATTAATAAACAATGTAAAGGATGAACTGAGGAAGGACAATATGGGAAAACTGTCGTGGATGGGGCAGATAAATATAAATAAGATGATTATAGCGCCAAAAGTCTTATACAAATTTAATATGCTCCCAATACATCTCCTGGGATCCTTTTTTAGGGTCCTTAAAAAAATGATACTCAGATAAGTGTGGACTAATAACAAACTAAGAGTTAAGTATGAAGTGCTGTGTAGCAATAAAAAACAAGGGGGATTAAATATGCCAGATTTTAGGAGATATTATAATTCTCTGTTATTATCACGGATTGGAGATTGGATGCACAATACACAGGGGAGAAGTTGGGTAAAAATGGAAAGTTCACTTAGCAAGGCATTAGAAAAGTTTATTTTGATTCCACAGGATTTTCGCACATGGGATGAGAGCATGAGTACTTTGACACTGATGGTATTTAGGATATGGGATAGAATGCATAAGCAGAAGGATTGGAAATTTAATTCATTGTCAATTCAGTTGGTGGGAACTAAGTTTTTCCCGCCCGGGAATGACATCTCAGGGAAATGGATCACAGATAAAAATGCACGTTTAAAGGATATAGTGGACAGAGGGGTTTTACGTTCTTTACACGAGTTGAAAAATAAGATGTATCCTCTAGAGCAACTGTTAAATATGAAAAGAATACAGAAACATTTCACCTTAAGGATATATAAAATACTTGCTGAAATAGATGGACCAACATCCCAAAAATTTTATAAGTGGGAATTTGAGCTTGAAACAAAACTGAATGAGCAACAGAAAAATAAAATGATTCGTTTAACACATGGGGCTGTACATATGAATATAGTGGAAATTAATTATAAGTGTTTAAAAAGATGGTATATTACTCCCAATGTGATGCATAAATTGAGTCCAGAAGTTCACCCAAATGTTGGAGGGGATGTGGGAGCAAGGGTATGATGGCACATATCTGGTGGGACTGTCCCAAAATACAGGATTTTTGGTGGGAAATAACGCAATATATACAAGAGATGCAGAAGATCAGTATACCGACAGACCCATGGGATTGTTTTATTTTATAAAACAGAGCTTTCGGTGAAGCAATACAAAAATACTAATCTGTTTCATCTTTTAAACGCAGCTAAAAGTCTTGTCCCTAAATATTGGCTAGCATTAGAAGCCCCAAAAATCAAAGACTGGATAGATAGGGTGGAGTATATATGTAGAATGGAAGAACTATATCACATAGATGAGGATAAAATGGAAACATTTAAGAAGATCTGGGAGGAATGGCACAATTTAAAAAAATCAAAAAGATTCCTAGAAGCGGTTGGAGGATGAAGGGAAAAGAAAATAAATAAGAATTTGGAA